AACACAAAGAAGCCATTCAGCCCATTAAGCTTGTGCTGAAACTTTGAAAGCACTCTCCAGTTCCCCCTATCCCTTTCTGTTTTCTCATCCACTTCATAACCCTGGTAGCTTCTTTTCGAATTCAGACAATTCCTGTTGAACAGTTGTAATTTAATCTGATTGCGCTTGGGTTTCTCATTGCTTCCCCTTTTTGGTTCTTTGCCAGTTATCTTTATTTGGAAAGTGTATAAAGATCTTTCGGGGCGTGTGGGGAAGTTGGGCCGTGATTGAGGCCACTGCATAGGAAAGATGCATGTGGGACCAGCGGACTCCTTCCAAACCTTACTGTGTTGTGCATGATCCTCAAACAGTGTTGCAGAATTCACCTGTTGTGATCAGTACTGAGTCCAGTCGAGACAACACATGATTGTTGACTTTCTACTGAATGCCACTTGGCTACTAGAACAGTTCTGCCTTTTGATCCCATTACCTCCAACCAAACATGGAGATAATGTTAGTAAATTTCCTGCCCCACTTGATGTCAGTTGACTCAGAACTAGCTTAGCACCCAAACTGGACTTAACAACTGGGCTAACAAGGTGTAGAGCTGGATGAACACAGCAGGCCAAGCAGCATCAGAGGAGCAGGAAGGCTGACGGTTCAGGCCTACTGGGCAGGTTTCCATGAAGGAAACAAAACTTGAATTTCTCACAGCACCTACCACAATCCCTCGTCCTAAAACACTTCAGCCAATCAACTCACTATAGTTTACAAAATATGGCAGGCAAAACATACACAGCAAGCTCCCACAAAGAACAGCTGAGAGGTTAGCATGTGGAACCAGTTACCTATGCAATGCAAATTTTATCAAAGCATTAAGGGGAAGCTAGATACAGAAACAAATGGAAGTATATGCCAATTGGATGCCATCATGAGGAAAGTGAATGCTGCATTTCCTGTGGTAGATTCCATTTTTTTTATTCATTCATTGAATGAGGGCATTGCTGGCTAGGCAGCATTTATTACCCAGAGGGCACTTCAGAGTCAACCACGTTGCCTTGGGTCTGGAGTCACGTGTAGGCCAGACCAGGAAAGGATGACAGTTTGCTTCCCTAAAGGAAATTTGTGATCCAGGTGGATTTTTCCTGACAATCAGCAATGGATTCCTGGTCATCATTAGACCCTTAATTCCAGATATATTTATTGAATTCAAATTCCACCATCTGTTGTGGCAGGATTTGAACCCGGGTCCCCAGAACATTCTCTGGGTCTCTGGATTAACAGTCCAGTGATAATACCACTAGGCCATTGCCTCCGCTATGAATGGCCAATTAAGCTGTTTATGCTGTAACCCACAGGGGAGATGTCTCCGCCTCCTTCAAAGTATTGGTGTGAAATATTTTACAACCCACCTGAGCGAGCAGGGAGAACTTCAAGTTAATGTCTCATGTAGAAGCTGGATGTACTGACAGTGCAGGACCCCCTCAGTATTGTGCTGCAAGTGTTGACCTCGAGTCTCTGGTCAGGCTTGAACCTTTACCTCCTGACCTAAAGTGAGAGTATGACCATGCTGAGCCAAAATTAAATATTGGACACGATATTGTTGACCCAGCAGTACATGAATAACAGCAAAAGTTCACCCCTTTGTCAACATGTTACTGGCCCACGGCCTCAGCTGCGTGGGAAGTGGGATACCAGGTGAAGGAATGCGGAAACTCATTGCGTATTTCTGTTTAAAACACAGCACAGCTAAAGTACGTGTGTGTCTCGGTTAGTCTTTGGTGCTGGCTGGGTGTGGTGAGCCCAGATGCCTTGAGAAAATAGCTGGACCCTGAAATTTGTTTTGTTTCAGAATTCCTTAGTATTTCCGTTCTGGCTGGAAAAAAGAACTTGGAGCAGAACTTCCTGGAAAGTTTGTAGGGAAACTCAAAAACAATGTGCGGTTATCGAACTGTGCAGGCCTCAGCTACTCCCTTCGTCTTTGAAAGGTGAATGCTGACAACCCTAGATGCTGATAGCTGAGGTGTGAGTTGAATAGGCATTTTGATATTTTTTTTCTCTCTGTCTCCTGGTTTTTATTAAATACTTAATTCCTTCTCCTGGGCTCACAACACCTGCTGCCGCAGACACCACCCAGTCCTTCACTCAAGTGCACGTGGTCAAGAGTTGCTGTTTGACTGTTAAAGGCATCATACTGTAGCCCAGTCCTCTTCATGCTCCATGCAGGGATGTGTGCGTGCTTGCATGACCAAATCACCTGGCCACAATCTTAAGGATGTGGATTTTCCCTGTTCCCTTGTCTCCCTGAGATTCCCCCAGGAAAATATTGAGCATAACTAATTCAGTACAGGATGAACATTGAAGGTGGGATAAATCTCCTGGTTCTGTCTTACTCGGCTAATGATTATTAAACCACAAGGCTGTCTCTTCTAAGTATCTAAAACAAAGGATTTAGAATGTCTTGGCTTCTCTCAATCCACTTGTGATTGAAGTAGAATTTCAGACTGTCATGGACTAATGGAATCAGAACTGAAATTCTACCATCATCTTGAACCTGAGTCTTTGAAAAATGTCATAGTCCAGTTTTCTCAAGGAAGTTAGAAATACAGGCATCTGGAATTTTGTCCGGTTCCGTGGAACTTCTACTGAGAAAAGAATTTCAGGAGAGAGACTTGCAATTTCTGCATTGTCTTCCTTAACTGGCTACTATGATTTGATTTGATTTATTATTGTCAGATGTACCTAGCTACAGTGAAAAGTTTTGTTTTGTATGGAGTACAGGCAGATTATACTATATAAAGTGCATTGGGGTAATAGAATGGAGCAAGGAATGCAATGTTATGGCTGCAGAGAAGGTGCACAGAGAGTGAGATCAACATCGAATTTGAAATGTCCGTTCAGAAATCTAATAACAGTGAGGAAGAAGCTGCTCCTGAATCTGTTGGTCCATGTGTTTAAGCTTTTGTAAAAGGTCTGTAAAACAAGACCTGGAAGGGTTGGAAAGCAACAATTAACATAGGGCCACCTTGTGCTTTTACAACTAGGTTTTCCCATAACTAAGGACCATAAATCCTGTTTTCTAATCCCCTTGAAACCTTGTTTTTCTTTTCTCCAGTGTCACTTGATTTTTCTGTAAACAGCAGGTAACTTACTGCATACCTCAGGCTAACAGTGTTTTTCCCTGATAAAACCACATGCTTTTCCTTTCTAAAAATGTCTAGATTGGTCCATATCTTCAAAAGTTTCACACTTTCCATAAGTATGAGCAAGTATTGCCAACAGTTGATTGTTAGTTGAGGAACAATGGAGTGTAAACATTGGTGTGGATCTGGTGGAGCCGAACGGTCTCTATCTGTGCTGTAAAGACTTTGTGATTCCCTGCCACTACAGCTTATTCCAAAGTGGTTACAGCTAATGATGTACTTATCTCTAATCACAGTCATGTAGGAAGTGTAGCAGCTAATTTGTGGGAACTTGTTTTGTGCAATGAAAAATATGTCGAAAAGTTTGTGATATTATTTGAAGGTTAATTATCAACTGAGCAGACGTTTCAGGTATTCTTTAAATAGTACCATGGGGGTCTTTTACACCCAATTGAAGGTGTTGATGGCACCTCCATTCTGCCATTAATCCAAAGACAGAACCTCAAACAGTGTAGCACTGCCTTGGGGTGGTACTGGAGAATCAGTTTGGATTGTATGTCCAGGACTCTGGAGTGGAACATAAATGCTGAGTCGGGAAGAATGCAGACCCAGCTAAATTTGAGCCAGATCATTTGAGAGCAATAACAAAGAAGCCACTTTCTCACTGGATGGAATGTAGAAGTTTGGCTCTCTCTCCTAAAAGACTGGAGGTCATTTAGAAAGCCCATGGCTGAGATCAGTAAACGTTTGGTCATATAAAGCTTTCCAGCTATACAAAAGCCTGGTTCAGCCACATCTGGAGTATTGGTGTCCAGTTCTGGTCGCCTCATTACAAGAAAGATGTGGAAGCATGGGAAAAGGTGCAGAGGAGATTTACCAGGATGTTGCCTGGAATGGAGGGAAGGTCTTACAAGGAAAGGTTGAGAGAGCTAGGGCTTTTCTCTTTAGAACGACGAAGGATGAGAGGTGACTTGATAGAGGTGTACAAAATGATCAGTGGTATAGATAGAGTGTACAGCCAGAGACTTTTTCCTAGGGTGGAGGTAGCTATTACAAGGGGGCATAGTTTTAAAGTGAGTGGAGGTACATATAGGGGAGATGTCAGAGGTAGGTTCTTTACTCAGAGAGTGGTCGGGGCGTGGAATGCATTGCCGGAGAGGGTAGTGGCGTCGGCCTCATTAGGGGCATTTAAGCAGCTATTAGATAGGCATATGGATGATAGTATAAGGTAGGGGTGGAGGTTAGATAGACCTTAGGATTAGGGTAAAAGTTTGGCACAACATTGTGGGCCGAAGGACCTGTACTGTGCTGTACTGTTCTATGTTCTAAAGACACTGAGGGATATGCAGAGAAGGTGGTTCGATGGAGTTAGAATATACATCAGCTTGATCTAACTGAGGAACTGAGTGACCTTCTCCTATTCCCATGGAGGAGGTGGGGGACACAATCAGGATGCTGTTGTAGCAAGTCATCACCCTGTTTAGAGGTAGAACATTCCAAAACAGACTGATGTGTGCCTGTTTCTATGTGTGACGTGTTGGTCACAGATGATATCAGGAACAGTTTAATATTGTGAATGTGGCTCTTTACTCTTAAATGTGTTCACATGAAATGGAATTGGCTCCAGTGGGCCAATACCCTCTTGTCCCTTGACCATATTTTCAAAATGGGATATAACTGCATTGTCTGTTCTACATAGTGTTCAGGGATGTGTAGATTAGGTGGGTTACTGGGGGATGGGTTGGGTGGGATGGTCTGAGGGTCGGTGTGGACATGTTGGGCCATAGGGCCTGTTTCCACACTGTAGGGATTCTATGATCCATGATCAAAGATAAACTTGGGTGCATTTGACTTTTTTTCTCTTTTTCCCTTGTTTAGATGAAGGGCAACTGATTGAGCGAGCTGCTCACACAGGAATGATCAACCCAGGGGCCCAGTGGATGACCTTGCAGTACAATGGGGCTGTGGCTCACTTTGAATACAGGATCCGTGTGAAGTGTGAGGAATATTATTATGGCACAGCCTGCAACAAGTTCTGCCGGCCGCGTGATGATGTCTTTGGGCACTTTGTTTGCGATCAGAATGGGAACAAACTCTGTATGGAAGGCTGGATGGGGAGTGACTGTACTAAAGGTAAGGAGGCTGCTGTAACACAAGCTGGACTTTCAAACTCCCTGATATGGAATCCATCCATTTACAATGCAAGGCCTCGGAAGGGACACAGGGAGTGGTTGGTACCAGGGGAGAGAGATAGATTAAGTGGGTTATAGGGGGATGGGTCTGGGTGGGATGCTCCAAGGGTCAGTGTGGACTTGTTGGGCCAAAGGTCCTGTTTTCCACACTGTAGGGATTCTATGAAGAGTTGATCACACAGAATGTAGCTTTAAGATAATTGATGGAAGAGCAAAGGTGTGTTTAGAATGTTTTTATTACTATTTGCATTTATATGGCTTCTTTAAGATAACAAAAGGCTCCAAAGTGTTTCACATGAGGGTTATCAGATAAACTTTAACGCAATGAACCACATGAGGCGCTAGTAATGCAGCTGGTCAAAGTTTTGGCCGTAGCGATAGATTTTAAAGCACATCTTTAGGTGGAAGGGGAATTAGGAATGTTAAGGAAGGAAATTTGAGTTTTGGGGGTTAGGACCCCGAAAGCCAGTCTTAGTAATTAGAGTCGTGGACGCCAAAATTGGAAGAATGCAGTTAATTCCATTGGTTGTAGGGTGGAGGAGTTTCTGTCTGGTCTGGAATGTATTGCCTAAAAGGAACGCAAGCAGATTCACTAGTAATTTGCAGAAAGGGTAAATACTTGAAAAGGAAAACATTAGCCATGCTTTGGGGAAGAGCAGGGGAGACCAGAACAAACCAATTGAACTGCTATTTCACAAATCCGTTATCAGCATGCTGGACTAAATGGCCTGCTTTTGCCTTGATGGGTTCCATTAAAATGAATATGATATTTCTTGGCCACAGAGCATTGCATTATTTAAGCTTCCTAATGGCAACTCATCATCGACTCTGTAGAAAGCCACCACCAATGTGGAACAGAACCGACCTTTTATAGTTTAAAATCTGATCTCTTGTCAATGTTGTGTTTGCTAATTACTGCTGTCATGGGGTTTACACTTGGCATCTGAGGTGGTTTTTGGCTGTAAGTCAAACTGTCCTTCATAGGAACGTAGGAACTTGCTGGACAAAACAACATTGAGCTCCCTCTAGTTCACCTCTCTTCTGATAGCCTTGTGTTGTTTTGGATCATGAATTTTAAGTAAAATACTGACAAAATGTGGCAAAAAAAACCAAAACTGAAGCTTATCGAATATCGTCATTGTCAGATTGGACAAAAGTTTTGTTTTAAGAACAGAAGACAGTGAGCCGCAGTAAATCTTCAAATTAGTGGGTGGCACATAGTATTGTTTGCCAAGGGTCATTGATAGAGTCCCTACTTTTGCTTGTTTTTTTGGCAAGTTAAATGACATGAGTATTAGAATTCAGAGTAAAATTTCAATGATCCCAAACGTGAGGGAATGGTGAATAGCAAGGATGGCAGTTGAGTACAACAGAATGTAGTCTAGCAAAATGGGCAGATGAAATTTAATGCCGAGCAGTGTGAGGTGATGCATTTTGGAAGGAAGGATAGTGAGAGACAGTGTAGACTGAATGGCACAGTTCCAGAGTATGGGCAAGGCCAGTGAGAGCTTGGGGTTCAGGTGCAGAGATCTTTGAGGATTACGGGGCGCATTGACAGAATAACAAATGTGAGATATTGGGCCTCAAAGGCATTAAGTATAATAAGAAGGAAGATTTGCTAAATTCTAGTCATGTCCAACAAGTTTTGTGGAGTATTATGTCCAATTCTGGTCACAGCACTTTAGGAACAACTTTAAAGTTCTCGAAGATATAGAGGAGATTTGCCAACCTGATTTCAGGATTGGGGTTGGAGTGAGCGGGTCATTTACTTGTACCTATGATGCTAATAGAATTATTCACTCATGGGAAAAATCAATCTCTCTGCAACATATCCAGATATCTGCTCCAAGACAGCCAGTGCTCCCTAGTCACTGATGATGTCTCACATTGTTCTTCCTGTATCCATTGCTGATGGTTAGGCACAAGTGGTAAGATTGGAAAGACAGCTGTTGTCAGGTAACCTATGAGCTCATGTCAGTGGGTCACCTGGTTGATATCTTGTGGGAGAGGTCATTGGCCTCTGAATGAGGATGTGAGGGAATGTGATCAAAATAACTTGATGTCTCAATGAAATGACTACTTCAGAATTTTTCTTTTGGTTTTGCAGCTATTTGTAAGCAGGGCTGCCATTCGATCCATGGAGGATGTAAAGTTCCTGGAGAATGCACGTAAGTCAGCACGGATCTGGACTAACAATTGTTTGAAACCAGCTGTTAAATAAAGACCGCTGTTTGTTGATTTGGATGCTTCATGATTGCAGTCTGAGAAAGGTCATTGAACAGTGTCTGCTACCCTTAAAAACTGACTCCTGAAATACTTCATGTTTGAAGTTTTTTGCCCTTTTAGGGGTAGGAATAAAAGCAGGAATATTTGATCTGGTCACCACGGCCTGTGATTGGTGGTTCTTGAGAAAGGTGTCTGGTTTTGGTTCACAATACTGTGTGAATTATTGTGTAGTGGGGTGTGAGAGTACTCAGCAAGGCTACTTTGGCCAGTGCTATCTGTTTGTAGCTGTAAGCTCTACTATTAGAATTATAATGGTTTGGTAGGCACAATTCCATTGTTTAGTTTAGAACACAACTGATAAAAGTTATGCTAGATGACTCCTGGCCAGTCCCACTTCTGCCTGTCTGATTTACGCAATAAATTAAAGAGCTGGCCATTGCTTCTACACCAGCACTGTTCACATCACCCTTCAACAAATGTAAGCTATTGTACAGTTTTACAGGAGCTGATTACCATTAAGTAATATTAGAGAATTTGCACCTTCCTTTTAGTAACAAAGTGGGGCGGCACGGTGGCTCAGCGGTTAGCACTGCTGCCTCACAGCGCCAGGGACCCGGCTTCGATTCCACCCTCGGGCGACTGTCTGTGTGGAGTTTGCACATTCTCCCCATGTCTGCGTGGTTTTCCTCCGGGTGCTCCGGTTTCCTCCCACAGTCCAAAGATGTGCAGGCTAGGTGGATTGGCCATGCTAAATTGCCCGTAGTGTTCAGGGATGTGTAGATTAGGTGGGTTATAGGTGGGTGGGATGCTGTGAGGGTCAGTGTGGACTTGTTGGGCCAAAGGACCTGTTTCCACACTGTAGGGATTCTATGACAGATTTTAATGTCAATACCTTCAAACTGATGTCAAGCTTTCTGGGTTTCAGTGTATAGTGGGGCAAACAAGGGAATAGCTGAGACAGTGGAAAGATGCACTGATCTCTGTTGCTCCAGGCCAGGTACAGTGAGTTGTAAAATCACATGCAGAGGTGGCAGGGTGTTTGACATTGATTGCCCGTCAATGAGTGCACAGACTTGGAAAACCTTGTAAACACATGTCCTCTTTATCTCCAAATGACATGTGACTAATGGGTCAAAGATCATCCTCGATGGTATCATAACAGTGAGTCCTGACGAGATAGGGCTAAAAATATTCTCATTTATTAAATATAGCTTTCAGTAAATGCGCAGGGTTGAGGCTGTGATTCATGCTGTCAGCAAACCATTTGAGACCGAAGAAGACATTACTGGCAGACATGACTGTGGGGCAGAGGGGAATAAAGGGGACTGTGCAGTGACTGGCATGATGTCCACATGCACTTTTCTTGTCATGACATTTCTTCTGTTATGCCCGTGGCCTAGTGCCATTCGTGCCTCGACTTGCATGTGATTCTATGGAAGGGATCTTCTGTGGGCTGGCTGTAAGAGGCTGTGCAGTCCTGGATTTTAGAGACTTGAGCTTAGAATCCTCGACTGATACTACTCTGTAACTCTGAGGAATTACTACACTCTCAGAAGTGCTGCCTTTGGAATGATTTGTCAAACTGAGGATCTTGGCCTGCTGTCTCAGGTAGATGTAATCCAGAGGGGAATGACGTGGAGAATGAGTTCCGATCCCAATGTGGTAACTGGTTGGAACTAAATTTAATGAACAAATTGAAAATCTGCAATTGAAAACCAGGTTCTCATGATGCCCTTGAAACTACCGTCAGTGGTTAGGAAAAAAACCCATCTGGTTCAGTAATGTCCTTCAGGGAAGGAAATCTACCATCCTCACCTGCTGCTATATCTTATCATCCTACAGTTAACCTATGTCCTTGTGATTGTAGTTTTACTCCCAGATCCTTTATCTCCTCACCCCATTCAGATTTTTATTTTACGAGTAAATGTGGTTTCTCCCATTTCCTTTATGAAAATGTATTGCCTCTCACTTCTGCTGAAATTCATTCTGTGTTCGTTCTGCAGATTTATTCACGCCATCTTGTAATGCGTCATGCTCTTCCTCAGATTAAGGAAGTACAGACAATACCTAGTCCAAATATTTGGTGTCCTTTGCAAATTTAGAAACTTATTTTTACTGCTTGCAAAATCTGTATCGTGAGCAGTAAGTCCAGCAATGATCTTTGTGGAAAATCACTTTCCAGTCACTGTGAATAACTTGTCTTTATGGCTAGGCCCTGCTGTCTGTCCTGTGGGATATCTTGTGAATTACCTGGCAGGTTCATTGGAATGCTGCCGTGGATACAGCACTTCAGTTATACAGAGAAGCTGGCAAATTCTCTGCCCGACAGAGTTTGGCTGCTGACTTGTTGAAATGTTCAAGGCTGTGATAGACAGATTCTTGAACTAACAGGGAACGTAGGATTATTGGAATCAGGTAGAAAAGTGGCGTTGAGACCAGTTTCAGATCAGCCATAACTTTATTGATTAGCAGAGTTGGAGTTGTTTTCCTTAGAGCAGAGAATGGGGGATTTAAGCAAGGTGTTGAAAAATTTGAACGGCTTTGAAAGGATAAGTGAAAAGAAACTGAGTTGGGGCGTGACTGAAGGAAAACATTTAAAGGGATTGTCAGGAAGAGCAAGCCATTGGAGAAATATTTGTTTTTAATGGGGCAAGATATATTGATTCTAAACAGGTGGTGGAAGCAGAAAAATGTAAAGAGTTTTGGAGTTACAAGGAAAGTATGTGGAAGTGGGACAACAAGGTGCAGGGCTGGATGAACACAGCAGGCCAAGCAGCATCATAGGAGCAGTGAGGCTGACGTTTCGGGCCTAGACCCTTCATCAGGCTTAGTTGTGTCACACTTTCAGTTGGCTGGCACATACATGATGGGCCAAATGGCCACCTTTTGTGCTATACACACAATTTATGGTTTCTTTTCCCCCTCCTAACATGCCAATGAATGAGAGTTTCACACAGTGCATCAACATGGGTTTGCAAGTTTTATGTAGCTGTTTGAACAAGCATGACTTTACAGCTAGATTTCCATTACAGTATACAATCCACTTTATTTGTCCTCACGCACATATGTGCGCTTGCAAGTACCTAGAAAAATATGGCTGCTGAGACTAGGATCCTTATTGTTTGTGTATCTACTCCTTTATAGCAATAACGTAGTAGAGTGTTTGGGTTTGAATTCTGGGTGAATGGTGATATTTTTGCTGGATCAATCAAACCTGCAGTGTTTTATTGGGTCCTGTCCATTTCTGCTGCATTTATATATAATTTTAAAGATGTTAGTTTGTATTTCGCCTCCTCCAAGTCTCAAATCTCTGTTGGTGGTTCATATGGAGTGACTATTATGTACCACTCAATACGCAGCAAAATCCAATAGAACCATTGACTCTCTATTCAGGTATTGGTGGGGGTATCTTGGCCTGACTATCAGGGCTATTCCCATTAGAGAAAAAACAAATAAGTTCTATCATGTCTCATCACAAAGTGTTTTGCATTTAGTGTTTAGTTTTGAAATATAAATAATGTTGCATAATCCTGTTGCTGAATATTGGCAACATTTTAATTTCAGTTCCCTTTCTAATCAAGCAGCCTTTTGGTTATAGTGTCATGGAGATGTGCAGCCTGGAAACAGACCCTTTGGTCCAATTTGTCCATGTCAACCAGATTTTCTTGGGTCAGATAGTTTGTGTGTGGGAGAACTGGGATGGTAATATAAATAGTTGCCCGATCACAGTGCATCTGAATCTGATCCTGTCTACATCTGCATTTTTCCGAAGGGTAAGGGCTGAGAGGCCACCTCTCTGTGTATTACTCTGACTTATAGCTCAGCTTGGAGTGGGGCGCAGGAGCCCAAGCTTTCTCTAACCATTTCTTCCTCTCTCTCTTCCTGTCCCAATTCCTCTCTATTCCAGGAATATTGAAGTTTAATGGGGCACAAATTAATCACGAATCGGTTCATAGAACTATAGAATCCCTATAGGGTGGTAGCAGGCCATTCAGCCCATCAGTCCCCATCATTCCTCCAAAAAGCATTCCACTTAGACCGACCCCATTCCTGTAACCCTGCATTTCCCATGGCTAACCCACCTGGCCTGCACGTCCCCTGACACTACATTTGACGTATGTGTCAACTTATAGGCATAAGAGAGGTGTCCTTACCTCTGAGCCAGGAGACCTGGCTTCAAGTCCCACCTGTTCCAGAGGTGTGTGATGACATCTCTGAACAGGTTGATGAGTTAAAATGTCAACCATAGGCATAGGCAATGGATTTGAGATGAAAGGGGTGTTTGGGGGTAGAAGTGGTGTTCCCCAGGGATTGGTGTTTTGATTGTTGCTTTTTCTGATTTATATAAATGATTTGGAGATGGGTGTTGAAGGCAAAATTTATAAACATGCAGATGATGCTAGGGTAGGGAGAACTGTGAGGATGATGCTACATGACCGCAGAGGGACAATGACAAGTTGAATTTCAATGCAGAGAAATGCGAGGGGAATGTGCTTTGGTAGAAGAAACATGGAGAGACAATACAGGCTCATTGGGACAACTTTGAGGGGAGTATGGTGGCTCAATGGTTAGCATTGCTGCCTTACAGCAGCAGGGACCTGGGTTCGATTCCACCCTCGGGCGATGTCTGTGTGGAGCTTGCACGTTCTCCCCGTGTCTGCGTGGGTTTCCTCCGGGTGCTCCGGTTTCCTCCCACAGTCCAAAGATGTGCAGGTTACGGTGGATTGGCCATGCTAAATTGCCCATAGTGTCCAGGGGTGTGTAAGTTAGGTGGATTAGACATGGGGGATGCAGGGTTATAGGGAAAGGGTAGGGGGATGGGATGCTCTTCAGAAGGGTGGTGTGGACTTGTTGGGCCGAATGGCCTGTTTATACACTGTAGGGATTCTATGATTTACAGGAGCAGAGGGACCTCAGCGTTCACGTACATGATTCTCTGAAG